GTTTTCTCTCGCAAGAGACATGGAGAGAGGAGTGAATGCTCGCGTGTTTGAGTTAAGCACGGCCGTCTTTGTCTCCCCGCAGCACAAACAGATGGCCCATGAATACTTGGAGGGTTAGGAAGGTCGCGAGGAGGGGACGCGGTGATGTCTGCTTATTCTCGCACTGTTTTAGGTTGTTTGTCTCTCGCAAAAGAAAGAGGAGGGTGATCGCGTTTTGAGCACAAACAGCAAGATTTGCACACGCAAGCAAAATAACATTCCCCACCCCTCCTCCCAGAATGGTTACACCGCTGGGTCTTTACTAATAAACACGCACACGACACACGAAACACACGAACGCAGATGTGTTCAACCCACAGAAAGATATATGACGGCCTTCAAACAACTCGGGAAGATTGAGTGGATTTTCTGAATATAAGCCGGGGAAAAATCCATTCAACTCAGATCGACAGGGGCTCTGGCCCCCACCACAGATCTCCAGGGCTTCGGCTCCATCTCTTCTCGTCGCCGCCAACGAAGAAGCTTTTCGTCATACAGAAGGACGAGGTTCGCGCGGTGACGAGACATCGTTAAAGTGACAGTCTGAGAGCAGTCTGTTCGAGTCGCGTCTAGTCTCGCAACTTGGCTTGCGACGCAGCGTTGCGACGGGGCTCGCAAGAGAGCTGGGGCAAATCGTGCCTCGAGGAGAGATGGAACGAGGAGGGGTCGTTCGAGTCGCAGAAGTCTGAGTTCAACCTGGGTCGGGGCTGGGTTTCAGCCGTGCTCCGGCTGGTGGAGCGTCGTGAGGACACAAAACACCGATGCCGATAGCAGGTGTCGCTTCTCGCAGAACGAAGTTAAGTGCGAGTAAAGCTGACAGCCGCACGAACAAAAGGAACACGGAGCAGAGAGAGAGTGACGAGTGACGACAAGCAATCAACCTGTAAAAGGGCGGAGATCGCCAAGCGTCGACCAAGCGAGCAAAGCAGAGAGCGCGAAGCAGTGGAGGAAGCCTGGTCAAACGGCTGCGAGGGAGAGGACAGCGACATCGAATGCGCCGTGTGCCTGAGGGCACACCGACCAACGACCAGTGTGAACACACAAGACGTCCAGAGCGACGGCGAGCATCGTGCCGACTCAACAATCAATCGAGCAGTGGAGAAGCCGGGGGCTGCCACCAAGAAAGCGCGTGCGCCACCTTGCGCCACCGTGCGCCACCTTGCGCCACCGTGCGCCACCGGGCGCCACCGTGCGCCACCGAGCGACACCGTGCGCCACCCTGCGCCACCGTGCGCCACCTTGCGCCACCGTGCGGCACCCTGCGCCACCGTGTGCCACCGGGCGCCACCGAGCGCTACCGAGCGACACCGAGCGACACCGAGCGACACGAGCGACCGAGCATCTTCAAGGAGAACATCGTGCCAACGCCGCTCAATCCAGCAGTGGAGAGAGAGAGAGCAAAAGCCGAGCGACACGCCGAGCGAGGGAGCAGCAGGAGCTTGCGGCGGCCACGCCCAATCGAGAGGAACATCTGGCCGCTGTTCGTATCCTCCCACACCACACAAGCTAACGACACAATTAATATTACGAGGGGACAACGCACACACAGCACGCACACGAATAAGACTTTAAAAGAAAAACTGTCTTTGCGTTTCAAAAAGGGTTGCCATTTCGAGGTGGTGCGTTCAATATCAACTGATCGTGCAAAGCAGTTGCTGCCGTCGAGTTACATGAATAAGAAATGTTTTGGTCATTCATTTTCGTTAACTGCATAATTTCGCCAATGAAGAAGTATTTTTAGTCATTCAATTTTGTTAATTGCATAAGATTGCCCATGAATTTATTGACGTATACTCGCTTTCGCATACTAGAGTGTCATGTGCTTGTTTAGAATTAAAATTGCTTAACACCAACTGTTCGAGTGCTTCTTTCCAAGTCCATGCAAAACTGTCTTATTCTTGACAACTGTATCCTGTGATGAGATCTGAACCTGGAGACCTTAAAAATAATAAACACACTAAGATAATCAGCAAATGTTTAATCGATGATAATCGTGTTATCCTGATTGATATAACCCTGGATAAACGAAACTAAGCAAATTATCATAACTGCACACATTAACATAATCGCAAGCATCCGCATAAATTACTACGATTATCATAATTTATGCATATAATTACACGCATTATCATGATTTATGCATGTTAATACACACACTATCATAATTAATGCGATTTGCGCATTTTTCGGAAAATTATTAATTTTTATTATTTTCATCAAAATTTCATAATCCCGACACATACAACATGATGGTGGTGGTGATTGATTGACCGTGGGACAAATGTTATAGCGGTGTCATAATCGTTTATAAAAGGAGGTTTTAAAAGTTGTAACACATTAAACAAAAATTTTGAATGGAGGGGAGAATTGGTAGCTCGGATAGGCGAGCAATGCCCCGGTCAGAGTGGAATTGGTAGAGCGGATAAGGGCCACAGTTTGATTTGCACCACTTAATTAATTGTGTGTGTGTGTGCGTGTGTGTGTACGTGTGTATGTGCGTGTGTGTGTGTACGTGTGTGTGTACGTGTGTACGTGTGTGTGTGTACGTGTGTGTGTGTGTACGTGTGTGTGTGTACGTGTGTGTGTGTACGTGTGTGTGTACGTGTGTGTGTGTGTACGTGTGTGTGTGTACGTGTGTGTGTGTGTGTACGCGTGTGTGTGTACGTGTGTGTGTGTGTACGTGTGTGTGTGTACGTGTGTGTGTGTACGTGTGTGTGTACAGGTGGTGAATCAGGTGAGTGGTCAGTGCAGGTGAAGTATTGGAATTGACGGCAGGAACTTCTTGACGGGTAACACACTTTTATTAAATCTTGACGTGTCACAATACAACGGGTGGTCTCTATCCTTTGGACTATACACTCCACTTAACTCGTGTAGACTCTATGTTTCTGGCTACACACAATACACTTGACTCGTGTAGACCCTATGCCTCTGGCTACACACAATACACTTGACTCGTGTAGACCCTATGCCTCTGGCTACACACAATACACTTGACTCGTGTAGACCCTATGCCTCTGGCTACACACAATACATTCGGCTCGTGTAGACTCTATGCCTATGGCTACACACACTACACTCGCCTCTGGGTTACACAGAGTCCCGGTCCCGTTAGGACAGCGGGACTAGGTACCGCAGGGCCCTATGTCTTCATCCCCGTCTTCATTCTTCGCTGGTTACATACTGCCCTTACGCCTGTGTGCATCCCCTTTTATAGCCCCTGCTCACGAGAGACGGAGCTGATGCGGACGTCGACGTGAGCATCGCTCCTTAGTGAACCAATCACGACGCACTCTCTCTACGATCCGTTTTCCCCAGCGCGTGTTAACACCACTCCACCAATCACACCGCGCTGCCACCCGGTCACTCCCTCTCAGCGCGTCACCGGCCCACAGCCAATCAGTACCCCGTAACCCACGACCCCGCGCTGACCCCTGATCCTCCACCGTCAGCGCGTGTCACCACATACACAGCCAATCATTACGCGCTGGCATACGATCCCTAATCCCAGTGCGTATCACCACTACACAGGTAACCTGGGTGGGTGTGGTTACCACTGCTAAAGAAGGGTGGTTACCACTGCTAAGGAAGGGTGGTTACCACTGCTAAAGAAGGGTGGTTACCACTGCTAAGGAAGGGTGGTTACCACTGCTAAGGAAGGGTGGTTACCACTGCTAAGGAAGGGTGGTTACCACTGCTAAGGAAGGGTGGTTACCACTGCTAAGGAAGGGTGGTTCTCGCGGCATCGTGGATGTTGATGTTGGTGGTGCTCCTTACCAACGAGAGAGAGGCTCTAGTGACGGGCCGGGTGGCCGCGCCTCCACCCCCAGCACCACCCAACCCGTCAGCTGCTGCCCCGTGCTGCTGCTGCTGCTGCTGCCCCGTGCTGCTGCTGCTGCCCCGTGAGTTGCCTCTCCTCCCCCGGCAGTCTGTGCAGACTGTGCGTGTGTCTGTGTACAGCTGGGGGGAGCGGCGGTGCAGCGGTTAGCGCTACGCCGCGCTACGAACCCGGCGACACGGGTTCGATTCCCGCTCACGGCCAACACCGGTGACGATGATCTGAACCGGTCCCGGGCCTCCCCTAGGTCGACTCAGCCTCAAAATGAGTACCTGGTGTAGCGGCGGTGTGGAGTAAACATCGCTAGCACTGGGGGAGAGACCAAGGCGGTCGGGCGTGGTGCTGGCCACCCACCCCCTCGTGTGCTGTGCCGGCCTTCATAGGTGCTGCTACTTGCTACTAACAGTACTTGCCCCTACAGCGCTGCTAGAGGCTACCTGGGGTAGCTTTGTCTGTGCGTGGTGTGTGTAGTACATAGACACTGCTGCTACTCGCTACTAACAGCACTTGCCCCTACAGCCCTTCTAGAGGCTACCTGGGGTAGCTTTGTCTGTGTGTGGTGTGTGTAGTTTGAGACTGATTTCAGGGTGCTGATTCCAAATCTGATCTCAGATTTGCTCTATCACATCTCATTTTTATGCTATCGGCATACCCCATTTTCATTGATTTTACCCGAAATTAACTCTGTCACTTATGATTGCAAGTTGTTACGAGTCAGTGACTGCTTTAGTGTTAAAATATGGTGCTGTATGTTTAGGATAGCGTGTTTACAATATCATTTTATGTAGATATCCACATTTATTTAATATTTTTCTTCCGCAGTTTGTATTGAAAATGCAATATTTTATATCTCAAAAACCTGATGTGATAGACAAAAACTGATGCTGGGTTAATCATTCATTGGGGTCCTTCTCTCTGGCTGGGGTTAGACTGCAGCAGCAGCAATAGCAGTTGGTGTAGCATCCATGTTCTTACACAACACTCCACTCGCTCCGAAACACTCCACTCACCCTTCCACACGCCACTCCACTCTCTCTCACCGCCTTCTCTCTCACCGCCTCGTCTCTCTCGCGGGAAAAGAGTGTCGGCGAATCGAACCGATTCCCCCGCCGCCACGATCCACACCCCACCAGCACCATGACCTCCATGGGAGTCGTCTCCGCGCTCCTGCACAGCGGCAGCAGCGGCAGCAGCGGCAGGCATCTGGGGTCCCTCCTCGCCGTCTGCATCGCCGCCACCGCCGCCGTCTTAGCGGTGGGGGCCGCTCACGAAGGTAACGAGACGGGGGGGGGGGAGCTCAAGCATCGCTCTGTGCCAGCTCCGCGTCTTTCTCTCTCCCCTCTCTTTCGTCGCTTCAACTCGTGAGGACCGCGCGCGTGGCCGTGACGCCCATCGTGATGGTGACGGAGCACGTGGCGAGAGAGAGGGGAGAGAGACACCGCCAACTTCTGTATATACACAGCAGCAGCAGGCATCGTCAGGGTCGGGATCGAACCCACCACCTCCTGTAGACCAGGCGAGGTAGTCGACATCTCATAGCCACCGTGATGATGATGATGAGAGAGACGCAGACTCCAAATATACAGCAGCAGGCATCGTCAGGGTCGGGATCGAACCCACAACTTCCTGTATACCAGGCGAGGTAGTTAACATCTCATAGCCACCGTGATGATGAGAGAGACGCAGACTCCAAGTACAATAGACTTGGGTGCGGCTATGAGCGAAAACTTGGAAATAGTTTGAAGGTATTTGAAGTCGTTGATTGTGTTTCAGCTTTAGTGTTTTAGGTGGTCACTGTGAGTGACGCTTGAAGGATCGTGTCTTGACCATGTGGAGAAGCACTCGTGAACTGGGGAACTAGTGTGTGTGCACGTGTGTACGTGTGTGTACATGTGTTCACGTGTGTACGTGTGTGTGTGTTCACGTGTGTGTACGTATGTGTTCACGTGTGTGTGAGTTGTGTGTGTACGTGTGTGTTCACGTGTATGTGTGTGTGTTCACGTGCGAGTACGTGTGTTCACGTGTGAGTGTGTTCACGTGTGTATGTAGGTGAGTGTGTGTACGTGTGTGAGTGTACGTGAGTGTGTGTACGTGAGTGTGTGTACGTGAGTGTACGTGTGTGAGTGTACGTGAGTGTGTGTACGTGTGTGTGTACATATGTGTGTGTACGTGTGTGTGTACATGTGTGTGTTCACGTGTGTTCACGTGTGTGTACGTGTGTGTGTTCACGTGAGTGTGTTCACGTGTATGTGTGTACGTGAGTGTTTACGTGTGTGTGTTCACGTGTGTAAACATCGCCACTGGGGAGACAAAGGCGGTCGGGTGTGGTGCTGGCCACCCACCCCCTCGTGTGCCGTTTCGGCCTTCATAGGTGCTCGCTAACAGCACTTGCCCCTACAGTCTGTTAAGGCTACACGGGGGATCTTTGTCTGTGTGTGTTCACGTGTGTGTGTACATGTGTGTGTACGTGTGTGTTCACGTGTGTGTACATGTGTGTGTACGTGTGTGTGTGTGTTCACGTGTGTGTACGTGTGTTCACGTGTATGTGTACGTGTGTGTTCACGTGTGTGTTCACGTGTGTACGTGTGTTCACGTGTGTACGTGTGTTCACGCGTGTACGTGTGTGGGTGTTCATGTGTGTGTGTTCACGTGTGTGTGTGTACATGTGTGGGTGTTCATGTGTGTGTGTTCACGTGTGTGTGTACATGTGTGGGTGTTCATGTGTGTGTGTTCACGTGTGTGTACGTGTGTGTGTGTTCACGTGTGTACGTGTGTGTTCACGTGTGTACGTGTGTACGCGTGTGTGTACGTGTGTGTGTGTTCACGTGTGTGTGAGTGTACGGGTGTGTGAGTGTACGTGTGTGTTCACGTGTGTGTATACGTGTGTGTGCACGTGAGTGTACGTGCGTGAGTGTACGTGTGTACGTGTGAGTGTACGTGTGATTTTGTGTATACGTGTGTGTACGTGTGTGTGCGTGTGTGCGCGTGTGTGAGTGTACGTGTGTGAGTGTACGTGTGTGTGTTCACGTGTCTGTACGTGTGTGAGTGTACGTGTGTTCACGTGTGTGTATGTGTGTGTGTACGTGTGTGTGTACGTGTGTGTTCATGTGTGTGAGTGGCGGTGTGAGTGGTGACGGTGTGAGTGGCGGTGTGAGTGGTGAGTGGCGGTGTGAGTGGTGAGTGACGGTGTGAGTGGTGAGTGAGTGGTGAGTGAGTGGCGAGTGGTGAGTGAGTGGTGAGTGAGTGGCGAGTGGTGAGAGAGTGGTGAGTGAGTGGTGAGTGGCGGTGTGAGTGGTGAGTGGCGGTGTGAGTGGTGAGTGGCGGTGTGAGTGGTGAGTGAGTGGTGAGTGGCGGTGTGAGTGGTGAGTGGTGGTGTGAGTGGTGAGTGAGTGGTGTGAGTGGTGAGTGATGAGTGAGTGGTGAGTGAGTGGTAAGTGAGTGGTGAGTGGTGAGTGACGTATCTCTCTACCTGCCCCCGCCCCCCAAGTCTCCACGACCACGGGGTCTGGTGGCCCCCCCCGCTGGAGCCGCATGTCCGGCTCGCTGTCCAAGCCGCTGTGGGTCGTGCCCAGCGGCAGCAGCGTCAAGCTGCGCTGCCTCGCAACCGGAGTGCCCACGCCCTCCGTGGCGTGGCACCACGACGGAGGGCGCCTCCACGGCGGGGAGGAGCGGCGCCTCGGGGCCTTCCGGGTGAGCAGGGCCGGGTGAGCGGGCTGGGTGAGCGGGCTGGGTGAGCGGGCTGGGTGAGCGGGGCCGGGTGAGCGGGGCCGGGTGAGCGGGGCAGGGTGAGCGGGGCAGGGTGAGCGGGGCTGGGTGAGCGGGCTGGGTGAGCGGGGCCGAGGTGAGCGGGGCCGGGTGAGCAGGTTGGGTGAGCGGGTCGGGTGAGCGGGTTGGGTGAGCGGGTCGGGTGAGCGGGTTGGGCTTCACATTCATATTTAGGTTATTTTGGTAAAGTCACTGTGTAGGTAAAAAATTAAAATTAATAAAAGTAAAATAAAAATGAAATAAAAATCACGACGTTTCGGAGGCAACAAAAGCTTCCGAAACGTCGTGATTTTTTATTTATTTTTATTTTACTTTAATTAATTAAATTTGTTTTACCTACACAGTGACTTTACAGAAAAAAACCTAAGAATATGAATCCTTGCAGTCACGAAAGCTTCAAATCTAGAATTATGGGCTTCACATCTTGACACAAACTTTTGGCGTCGTCTGGTCCAACACCAGGGTGAGACTGGGCTCTAAGAAAAGCTGTCTCGGGTGTGGACCAATCAACTTCAAGGACAGTGCATATCATCATCAGAGCTGTTTCTTTTTGTTTGCATTTTGACTGCTTGTGTTGTGTATTATTGCAAACATGATGCCTTGTATAAAGGTGTCAGTTTTTGTACCAGTTGAAAGGGTAAAAACCTATTACATTATTTTGCCACTGGCAAAGGAGATGTCTCATAGTACAAACTGTTTGATGGCCGGGTGAAAGGGTGGACGGCCTCTTGTTATATTTGTCACGCCGTCCAGGAAGCAGCCACGAGCTACTCGACATGGTCCTGGGAGTGGCATTGTCTGGTCCGACGCTTTGGTGTGGACCAAGCAGTGTGTAAGACAATGGCGATGTGTGTGTGTGTGTATAATGTTGTTGTTGTTGTGCTGCTGCTGCTGTTGAAGCTGAGGATCAAGGACTGGACGCTGGTGCTGGACAGCGTGGTGCCCTCTGACGCGGGCAACTACAGCTGTGTGGTCAGCAACCAGCACGGCTCCATCCAGCACTCGTACCAGCTCGTCGTCATCGGTGGTGACCCCCCCCCTCCACTCTCCCCCCTCCCACTCCTCTCCCCTCCCTCTCACCCCTCCATCTCCCCTCTCCCTATCATCTCCCCCCTCCCCTTTTTTTCTCTTTTTTTTCTACGATCAGTGGAAACAAGAAGATGCTCGGTGTAGTCGGCACTTTGCTTAGTTCATCATTTCGTAATTTTTTTTCCTCTCCCCCCCTCCCCCCTCCCGCCCCTCCCGGCGTGCAGAGCGTGGCCAGCCCCAGCGGCCGTCGCTGCAGGACGGCCTCCCGGCGAACGTGACGGCGGCGGAGGGGAGCGACGTGGAGCTCCGCTGCGTCGTCCTGCAGAGCGCTGGCGGCAGCAGTCAGCAGCAGCTGCACCACCACGTGCAGTGGCTCAAGCACGTGGAGGTGAATGGCAGCCTCGAAGCACCCAATGGCTCACCCTACGTGCACGTCCTCACGGTGAGCGGGGCGAGGCACGGGGGCACCCACCCACTCACTCACCCACCTACTCACCCACTCACCCACCCACCCACTCACCCACTAACTCACTCACTCACCCACTCACACACTTACACACTCACTCACTCACCCACCCACCCACTAACTCACCCACCCACCCACTAACTCACCCCCTCACTCACCCACCCACTCACCCACCCACTCACCCACCCACTCACCCACCCACTCACTCACTCACTCACCCACCCACTTACTCACCCACCCACCTACTCACCCACTCACTCACCCACCCACCTACTCACCCACCCACCTACTCACCCACTCACTCACCCACCCACTCACTCACCCACCCACTCACTCACCCACCCACTCACTCACTCACTCACCCACCCACTCACTCACCCACCCACTCACTCACTCACCCACCCACTCACTCACCCACCCACTCACCCACCCACCCACTCACTCACTCACCCACCCACTCATTCACCCACCCACTCATTCACCCACCCACCCAACCACTCACTCACCCACCCAGTCACCCACCCACTTACTCACCCACCCACCCACCCAACCACTCACTCACCCATCCACTCACTCACCCACTCACCCAACCACTCACTCACCCATCTACTCACCCACTCATTCACCCACCCACTCATTCACCCACCCACTCTTTCACCCACCCACTCATTCACCCACCCACTCATTCACCCACCCACTCATTCAGCCACCCACCCACTCATTCAGCCACCCACTCACCCAACCACTCACTCACCCACCCAGTCACCCACCCACTTACTCACCCACCCACCCAACCACTCACTCACCCATCCACTCACCCACCCACTCACTCACCCACCCACCCACTCACCCAACCACTCACTCACCCATCTACTCACCCACTCACTCACTCACCCACCCACCCAAACTCAGCAGAGGCTGACGTCACCCTCTAAACAACAGGACCCAGAAGCCACCGCTTCGCCGGGTACTTACTGCTGGTACCTAATAAATAAATAACGTTGAAACTTGTTCACGTGACACTGAATCTTACTCGTTGGCCATGTCGGGTGGTGGCGAGTTCGACGACACAACGCTTACATGCGACGCTCCAACCCAAATCACCCCTACCCTGCACTGCAGCCTGCGTCGTGGGTATACAAACAAGATGCTGATTCGCTCGCTCTCTCCGCGCCGCCCGCCGTGTCGCCTCAAGACGGTGGGCGTGGAGGTGACGGACGTGGAGACGGACGTGCTGTACCTGCGCTACGTCAGCACGGACGACTCGGGCCGCTACACCTGCCTGGCGGGCAACGCCGCGGGATTCGCTCACCGCTCCGCATGGCTCCTCGTCGTGCCGCAAGAGACGCCGGCTGGTAAGATGTCGACTGCCTCGCCTGCTCTGCAGGAGGTCGTGGGTTCGATCCCGATCCTGACAATGCCTGCTGCTGCTGTATATTTGGAATTTTGCGTCTCTCTCTCTCATCATCATCACGGTGGCTGAGATGTTGACTGCCTCGCCTGGTCTACAGGAGGTCGCGAGTTCAATTCCAACTCTGACGATGCCTGCTGCTGCTGCTGTATATTTGGAGTTTGCGTCTCTCTCTCTCTCATCATCATCACGGTGGCTATGAGATGTTAACTACCTCGCCTGGTCTGCAGGAGGTCGTGGGTTCGATCCCGACCCTGACGATGCCTGCTGCTGCTGTATATTTGGAGTCTGCGTGTCTCTCTCTCTCTCTCATCATCACGGTGGCTATGAGATGTTGACTACCTCGCCTGTCTCCCTGTGACAGTGGACACCGCCCTGGCTGCTCCCGAGAGAGTGGGCGGCGGTTCTTGCGCCGCCGCCCTCCTGCTGCTGATCACCATCGGTGCTGTCACCGGCCTCACGCGGAGGAGGAGAGGGTCGACCAGCGGAGAGGGGGAGATGCAGGTGCAGTTGAGGTGGTGGTGGTGGAGATGCTGGTGGTAGTGGAGGTGGTGGCGGAGGTGGTGGAGGTGGTGGTGGTGAAGGTGGTGGTGGTGTTAGCGGTGGTGGTGGTGGTAGCGGTGGTGGTGGTGGAGGTGGTAGCGGTGGTGGTTGTGGTGGTGATGATGGTGGTGGTAGTTGTGGTGCCGCCCCAGGTGCTGTCTGCGCTGAGCGGCGTGGAGCTGTCGGGGGTGACGGGGCCGTGCGACCGCTGGGAGTTCCCTCGGGAACGGTTCGTCGTTGTTGTTGTCGTCATCATCGTTGTTGTTGTCGTCATCATCGTTGTTGTTGTCGTCATCATTGTTGTTGTTATCATCGTTGTTGTCGTCGTTATTGTGTGTATATGTCTGTGTGTCTGTGTATATGTTTGTGTCTGTGTATATGTGTGTGTCTGTGTATATGTCTGTGTATGTCTGTGGGTCTGTTTATTTGTGTGTGTGTCTGTGTATATGTCTGTGTATAAGTGTGTGTGTCTGTGTGTGGAGTGATGGCGTAGTGGTTAGCGCTACGCTGCGCTACGAACCCGGCGACCAGAGTTCGATTCCCGCTCACGGCCAACACCAGTGACGATTATCTGAACCGGTCCTGGGCCTCCCCTAGGTCTACTCAGCCTTAAATGAGTACCTGGTGCAGTGTGTAAACATCGCCACAGGGGAGACAAAGGCGGTCGGGCGTGGTGCTGGCCACCCACCCCCTTGTGTACCGTTCCGGCCTTCATAGGTGCTCGCTAACAGCACTTGCCCCTACAGTCTGTTAAGGCTACAGGGGGGTTCTTTGTTTTGTGTGTCTGTGCGTGTGTCTGTGTGTGTGTCTGTCTCTGTGTCTGTCTCTGTGTCTGTGCATGTCTCTGTGTGCGTGTGTCTCTGTGTCTGTGTGTCTCTATGTCTGTGCTTGTGTCTTTATGTCTCTGTGTCTGTCTGTGTCTGCGCGCGTGTCTCTGTCTGTGTGTGTCTCTGTGTCTGTGCGTGTCTGTGCGTGTCTCTGTGTCTGCACGCGTGTCTCTGTGTCTGTGTGTATCTGTCTGTGCGCGTGTCTCTGTGTCTGTGCGCGTGTCTGTGTGTCTGTGTGTGTGTCTGTGTATCTGTGTGTGTCTGTGTGTGTTTCTGTGTAGCTGTGTCTGTGTGTGTGTGTATCTGTGTCTGTGTGTCTGTGTGTGTCTGTGTGTGTGTCTGTGTGTGCAGGCTGACTCTGGGTGAGCAGCTGGGTGAGGGTTGTTTTGGCCACGTGCTGCTGGCCGAGGCGCTGGGCATGGAGCCGTCACGGCCTCACCGCAGCGTCCGCGTCGCCGTCAAGATGCTGAAGGGTGACGCCCGCGGGGTTCT